AACTACGGGCCTTTATGTTGGCAGTGCAACTTCTTACCACTAGAGCCATCAGAGCACCTAGACAATCACCACTCTCATATATATTGGCTTCAATTTGCTGTATAGATTACAGTATTTATTTTATTTTCCTATTACTCTTTTTTAAACTTTTAAAATTGGTTTTTATATAATAATTCGTTTCTATTGTGTTTCATTCATATACATTGTGTTCCATATTGTTGTTGCTGTTGTTATGTGGCCTTAGTGGAGTCCTGGTAAAATAAATGGAGGATTGTGTTCCATACAAACCCTCATCTATATTGTGTTTCAATCACTCACGTACAGTGTATCCCACATAATCAAATACCACATACTTATGCTTATCATTATCCTTTCTACCATTATTATCCTTTCTATTCCCATTCTCTCCCCCTTCCTTCAATCTATCCATTAAATTCTGTTATCCTAGTGATTTCCATCTTTCTCTTTTTTTTCTGCTCCCTTCTTTTCCCCACGCACTTCCTTTTCCCCCTTCCTCTACTGAACATTTATACACACCTTAGTAGTTATAATTCTATTTTTAGAATACTGACCTTAAACATTATTTGTCCTTATGAGACTTAGTTCACTCTGCATAATGCTTTCTAGACTCTCCAATGGTACATATATTCTACAAGCTAGTTACTCCTTAGTGCTGCATCTTATTCCAAGTGTGCTATCCCTGTGATCAGTTGTTGGTCAGAGGGTTGTTATATATAAACTTTTCGGTGATTGATTTTTGAAAATACATCATGGGACTTTTCTTCTCAGTACATCTTAATCTGGAAGAGCTTACAAAATCTACTCAACATTACAACACTACAGACATCTCCACAGACAGACAAGTGGTAGCTGGATATGAGGTATTTTGATTGAGAATTGAAGCCAGGTCTTTTAAATGGCAGGCAAGAATTTTACCATTGAACCCACCAACACTTAACTGTAAATAAATAACAGCACTTGTAAAATGGTAGGAGAATTTATCCAAATCTGTGTCTTTTCCAAATACCAATAAAATGCAGATAATTTAGTCACATAATACCTTACATACTTCCATTACATAGATACCTACTAACAAAGCAATTCTAATATACAACAGAAATAATAAACTTCATTCATTAATTGCATTTATGTGTTCTTGGCTAATGAAGACAGGAGAAGTAAGCATTTAAGGCATTAAGCATCAGTAGCTCTAAATTTACTCTCTACTTTCCCAGTATGCACCACTTTTTCTCTAACTCTTCATCTCTGCCTCACATCTTGCTATTTGATGAGCCTTATTAGCCTATTTTAAAGTGATAGTCTCTTTAAGAAAATAATTACAATGTAACATAATCTTTAACAAATAGAAAGGCTCTATTAGGAATTAAATACTTAAGTATTGAAGTTTTGTTTCCTGACATGTTTAAAACTATTATATAAGTTAACCCACAGCAATCAATTTATGTGCCTAGAAATACCATTCTTTCTTTTGCTAATGAAGGTCCTAAGGCACAAATTTATTAAAGGTATACGTTTGCATGGGATAATAATTGGGTCTATAATATTAAATTCATAGGCTCATTATTTAATTGCAAGGGCAGATTATGAATACAGCTTCTAAAATGTATTTTAATGAAAAACACTACATCCTGACCTAATCATATCAACCTTATGCTATCTAATTAAGGATGCAAAAAATCATTAGGGTTGCAAAATATTAGTTCCAGCTCCATCATGCTGTGAGCTGCCCCTTCATGAATATATATATTTTTTTTTACTCCATGATAAATAGTTAATGAGGTAAAAATGACAAAATTTGCATGTAGGCAAATTAGTTTAATAGAAAGATGTCTTTTCTGACTATTGAAAGTGACCTTACTCTTACCAAAAAAAATGGCTAAGATTCATTGAAATTATCATCTGCATGTCTTTTCTCAAATGATATATTATATGTATGAACAATATAAAAATTATACAATGCAATAACCCTAAATTCTCATCATACTGTAAATGTGTTCAGTGCTTTTGCATTTATCAACTTAATAAAAGGAAATTAAGCATATTATAAAGTATCCATTTATGTGGCAATTTTTAATGCAGAACATCAAAATCAGAAGCATATACTTAATAGTTAGTACTACATTAAAGGAACAAGATCAAATTTTTAAGGCAAAAGAATTTTTGAGTACTTACTTGAACTACTTTTGTCTTAAAATGGCTATTCTACCTTTAATTTGGTTTTTACACTATCAATGATTGTTTTCAATTAAACTGGCATTCTGTCTTGAAATTAGCCTATCAATTATTCAACAGGGCTACCTTATTCTGCATTGAAGCAAACTGAGCAAAGAAATATAAGACACGTCAAGGAAAGTAACACACACAAATTAATTATAAGGAAGGAGGCTCTGTGGTATGAACACTCGGCACATGAAATATGAGTTTATTCATTTAGGTGTAGAAATATTTGTATGTGGTTAACAAACAAAACTCCAACAGTAAGAAACAACAGGTGTCCTTCAGATGTTTACAGAGTCATGGATGATTCCATGGTAGAATTCTCACTGGTCACCCTCATACAGGATACCAGGGTTGTTTCTAAATAAATACATCTCATACACAACCAGCACCCATGCCTCGCTGGAGACTTTCTTGCTGTTACGGGACTAAACAGCTCTTAGCAGGCTAGCAAAGGTCTAGTGAGATCCACATCTAAAAACTGTTGTTGTTAGGTACATTATGTTGGAACCAACCCATATCTAAAAACCCCCCCCCAAGCAGGTTTTCAGAGGTTGTAAATCACATGGGAGAAGATTACTCATTTCCTTTCTTGAGGCAGTTTTTGGATTCAAACAACCTTTAAAGTGGTAAAACAGCTGTCCCACAAGGCCACGGGAGTTTCCTTAACTAATGAAAATACTATGGATCACACATACAGTATTGTGGTACAACTTCCAACATTGCTGCAGCAGAAAAGTAATCACAGTGCAACAAGAGGACTGATAGGGGTGTCTTCCTTAGCTCAAATACTAAGTCCATCTTCTCTATTTTCCTCTAAGGAAGAAAGATGGACAATCTTCTCTTGGATGATTTACAACCTCTGAAAACCTGAAGGCGGGTCAGCTATGAGTCAGTTCAAACCCAATGACACAGACAACAAAAATAAATCAAATTTTGTTACAAATCGTGCCAGATAAGAAGGTGTGTGGAGCTTAGGGATACAGAAAATATAACTAGAAGGAAGTAAGAATCAGATCAGAACATATGAAAAATGTACAATAGTAAAGATTTTGGATTTTTTCTTCAGGCAATAGGAGAAGTTTTTCACAGGAGACTGCAAGGTTAGATTTGCATTTTAGAAATATCATCCTGACATAAGTGAATAGTGAATTCACATGCAGTGTGAAAATGAGGGAAATATATCATAAGAGTGAAGGTGGAGAGAACAGTTGGAAAAGACATGCAATTCTTTAACAGTTTTAGTATTAGAGACCTGGGCTTATGCAGTAGCAAAGGAATAGACCAAAGAAGGCATTAAGGAAGTTGAAAGAACTTGATGATCAAATAAATAAAAAATCTAGGAAATAACAGGTAGTCTAGCAAAGCTCTGAGTTCTGGTCTTTTTGGGATTTAAAATAGATGAAATATTATATATCAAGTCATTGTTGTTGTCTGGTGCTACAGAGTCAGTTCTGATTTGAAGTGACCCTATGCACAACAGAATTTAACCCTGGTCCATCCTATGGTTCCAAGACCATTGAGGTCTAAATGAAGTGGATTGATAACAAAGGTAAAATCTATGAAGTAATTATGTGTTGAGCAGATTTGCAATCTTATAAATTGTATTTGGATCATAGTGAATTTCAGGTGTTTTGGAGACATCTCTCTGGAAATGTCAAATAGGACGCTGGTTTGTGTTATACTCAGAAGGGAAGAATATGGGCAACTTATATACTTGAGAATTTTTCTCAGGATGGAAACTACAAATCAAAAGGGAGTTGATGAAAGGAGAGTATAAAGAATAAGAAGAGAAGTAAACCAAGCATTTAATCCTGGAAAACAATGCTATAGAATATGCTAATAAAGGAAGTAGAATTAATGAAAGTCTAAAAAAAGATCACATAAGAGAAGATAAAACAAGGAAATCAACAAGAATGCTAAAGAAGGCAAAACAACATTCTGCTCTTTCTGTCCACTTGAGATTACCTTAAAACAAATAAACTCTTCACATAAAAGAAACTTGTCATTAGCTTCTTTTGCATTCTTCACAACTCTAATTTTATGCCATACATAGGCGGAGGCACTAAGGGATAATTCTCTAACAAAATAACAATGCCAAACTAAAATAATTGCTTGGTTGCATGTCTTCATTTCAACAGATAGAAAAAACAAGGTGCAATTGGTTTGCAAACCTGTATAGTGTTAGGTGCCATTGAGTCAACTACAAATCACAGTGAACCTATGAATAGTAGATCTGAATCTTGCCCTATCCTGGGCCATCCTCACCATCTCTGATGTGGCCGAGCCCATTGTTATAGTCAGTTTGTCAACCATTCCTGTTAATGATTCTGCTTTACTGACCCTTCTCAGTATAATGTCTCTTTTCAAAGACTGACCACTCCTCACAACTCCATGACTAATACAAGTGAGGTAAATTTCCATTGTCCTTGCCTGTGAGGAACATCCTGTTTGAATATTCTCAAAACCAGAACTGTTCATCTTTTTTGACAGTTCATGGAATATTCAGTACTTTCCTCTAACACCCCAATTCAAGGGCATCAAGTCTGTAATCCTTTTTCATTGTCCTATATTCAGATGCATAGGAAGAATTGAAAAGACCACACTATTTGTATATAAGTAGTAAATACAATACTAAAATAAATAAGTTTGAACAATATGAGCAAATTCAACCAAATTCACTTCTACTAGCTAATTGATAAACTAGTAGAATATCTCTGTTTTACATATTCAAGAGGCAAATGTACTTTGAAACAACTGACCTTTCTTCTTTCACCATTGATGCCTCTCCACTGTTCAGACTTTTTCACTATAAAGCTTAGCTCCTGATTGGAAATTTCCAAGTCATATGGTATGAAGAACTTGCTTTCTTCACTGTGGATGCGCTGAAATGTATCCAAGACCCAAGAATCACTGTGCAACCTAGGACAAAGGTATTTTGCATTTATTAAGCCTTTTTAAATTTTTTTCCTCCCAGAATGGTAATAATTTGTTTCCTTTACTAAATATTTTCATATTGCTTATTATAATTTATTTCTCTAGAAATGGTAAATAATTTTTTCAACTAAATATTATAAATGAACAACTACCTTTTTTTAAAAAAAATAAGTTCAATGACAAAGTATTTGACGTGATCAGCTACTAACTAAAAGGTCAGAAGTTCAAACTCAAAAGCAACTTCATGGGAGAAAGATGTTCGTAGATTTATAGAACCATTTATTCTGTCCCATAGAGTTGCTATGAGTTGAAAGTAAGACAAATATTAAAAAATACGAATTATGCCTTCACTTATAAAAGTTTGTTGATTTTTTTGGGTTGTTGTTATCATTGTTTTGACACAATGATTGTAGCAATAGGGTTAAGTGTGATCAGAGATTGTAAAGATGTCCCCGGATAGGATAAGGGTTATATCTATTGTTCATAGGGTCACTATGAGTCATACTGCACTGTAAGGCAACTAACCACAGACAGGGTAGTCTGTACGGATTTGTACTGCTAATGCAAAGACATCTTCTGTGATTTTAATTTATAAAATTTTTGGAAGAAATATTGGCAAATTGGCAGTCTCCTCCCATGAACATTTATAGCTTTGGAAACCTGTTGGAGGGTCAGCTATGGGTCTAGTACCAACTAGATAGTAATACAGGAGAGAGAGAAGGGGGGAAGTGAGAGAGAGAGAGAGAAGGAAGCAGGAGGAGGAGGAGGTAGAGGAGGAAGAGAAGAGGGAAGGGGAAGAGAGGGGAGGGGAGGGGAGGAGAGGGGAAGCGAGAGAGAGGAGAGAGAAAAAGAGAGGAAAGAAGAAAGGAGAGAAGAGAGGAGAGGAGAGAGAAGAGAGGAGAGACGAGGCGAGAAAGGAGATAGGAGAAGAAAGAAGAGAGGAGAGAGGAGGAGAGGAGAGGAGGAGGGAGGAGGGCGAGAGATGAGAGAAGGGAGAAGAGAGAAGAAAGGAGAGGAGAGAGAAGAGAGAGGGAGAGAGATAGAGATGTCCAAAGAGAGAAAAAGAGAAGACAAAGTATGATTTCTGTGTTTGGAAACAGTAGTGGAAACCACGTCGGAAATAGCTTGCCTCCGGAAACCCTATGAACTTGGAGAAACGATTAAAGTTATACAAGTGTTCAGGTCTTTCATTCATAGGGTAGCTAGGAGCCGCCTTCAACTTGACGGCACTTAACAACAACAGCAACTATAATCTAGAATTGTTCTAATATAACGTTCTATTTTTCAAATGTTTAAATATAATTAACACTTTGGGGAAATGATTTTTCTATATAAACTTGATTAGAAATAGTTTAAGAAACACAGATTTGTGCCACTGAATATGGGACAGATGGAGAGCCATAGTGTCAATAAACTATCTTTGTGAGAACTATTATTTTTAAAAAATGCTTCCGCTACACTTTAGATTATTAAAGTATTTAGGCATTATATACTGTTGCCTTCTTACATATTCAAAGTAGATAAGTACTTTGTGTGAATGATAAGGATGAAAACATTTTGCTTTACAGAGTATTGATTATGAAACCTAGAACTGATTGATTTCCCACTCACTATGCCATTTTTTAAATTTTTATTAATTTTAATAAACATTTACAGAGATTTTGGATTTCCATTCATTCATTGCTGCACTTTTCTCCCTGCCCACCCTTCCCCACAGGTTCGTCCCTCTCTTTGAAAAGAAAAAGAAAAAAAATCCTTCACTGGTATCCAATTCCCCCATCCCCCCTCACCACCACACCACCCCCCACCACACTGAGTACACTTCTCTATGCAACCTTAATTCTGGACTCCTGTGCTAACCATAATACTCAATCATATGTCACCTCTAATCTGTTCTTTCCCTCATCTGTTTCAATACAGTATACCATTTTTGACCTCTACACAGGCCTAGGACTGAATGTCCCCTTCTTGATTTGGATGCCTGATTGTTAAGGAACCAAATGGACTTTTGGGAGGATGGGAGTTACCTGATTAGGGAGGGAACAAGAGGGTTTCAGAGTCCTGTTATATGCTAAGCTCTAGGATTTACCATGATTCATTATTTATTCTTTAGTTTTACCATGATTCTTCTTTTACATATTGTTGTTGCTGCTGTTTGCCATCAAGTTGCCTGTAGCTCATAGTGACCCTACAAATTCATACACTGAAATCAATGGTATTACTATTGGTAATGGAAAGACATTAAATCCAAGTTGGTTAACCTCAAAGTTCATTTTATTTTTATCATAACAACAGTGCAGTTAGCATAACTGATACTTTTATTTTCATTCTGTCCCAAAAGAGCAAAATAACATTTTTGAAACTAGATTTCAAACAAGATCTTAGATATATCATTTAACCACAACTGTTTTACATTAATCACAGAAGGAAAAGAAAACTGAAACTTCCACTCAGCCTAACTGATGGTCCATGGAAGACCATATAGTTACTTACTGTGCGTTGAGATTCTAGGTCAGCCATTTGAATGATTTACTAGTTGTCTTGTTTAACAAGAACTAGTCTTTACCATTCTCTTAAGCTTGTTTAATGTAACATTTGTCTTTTTCTTTTAATGGTGGCAAGATTTAATGTAATTAAATTACTGTCAATTTGCTGCCATAAACATTTTCTATATTACAATTTCAAGTGCAAGATTATCAACAATGCAATTAACTTTGAATTAATTAGGAATTACAGTTCTGTTTCTGCTGGCTTCTGTTCCTATTACCCAGAAAAGTTCAGTTTTTTACATTTCCTTCATTCTGTATAAAAGAGAACTCTGAAAACATCCAACTCTGGATGTTGCTATTATTTTTGTTGAGTGCTGTGGCATTAGAATCGACCCACAGTTGACCTTACAGTGGATTTTCAGCATCAGTAAATAGCATGGAAGAGATTGCTTATCATTCTCCTGCAGAGCAGATAGTGGCTTTGAGCTGTCTACCTTTGTACTGGCAGTGCATTTCCTTACCACTAAGTCACCAGAGGTCTTTTGGCCTGCATCTACAGGGTGATAAACAATGTCTTAGCAGAGCAAAGAAAAGTTTCATACTGGAATAAGGAAAATAGTAAGGGATTACATTTTTGTTTTAATTAACTTTTTTCCCTGCAATTTTGGGTGGTATTTTCCTGTAAAAACCCCCATAATGAGTTGCTAATGGTCAACTTGCTATAATTTTTTTGGCATATGATTTCCAGTCTTATTATGAAAGCTTACAAGGAGAAAGAAATCTATGGTTTTACAAAAAAAATTTATTCATTTGGTAGGGAGCTTTGGTGGCCTAAATACACTGCACTCCCCAAAGCACGCAGTTCAAATCCATTAGCTGCTCTGCAGGAGAAGGACAGACAATCTATTCCTGTGCATCTGAAAATCCACTGGAGGGTCAGCTATGGGTCTTTTCCACTTGATGCACACACCACCAGCATTCACTCAATAGGAGAATCAGTCAAGTCAGATAATTTCTATTCATCTTTGGGGTACTGATCAAACATATTGTATATACAGTTAAGTTTTTACTTTCAAAGTTATCTTTATAAAGCTAGAAAGTCCCAACTTAAAAAAAATATAAACTTTATTAAACTATTTCATCAAGAAGACTCATTCTTAAATGAGTCAGCAAGTGACACATAATTACACACATATTTCTATTATCTCCCCTTTCAAATGGAGGGGTGATGTGTGCACGTGTCTGTGTGTGTATGTGTATCAGATTGACTCATAGAGTACTGAAGATACTGGAACTCATTGGAAAAGAAGTGAGAAAGAGCAAAGCTAACATGGGGAAAACATTATAAATTAGAGAATCTAGGAAAAGGATTGCAATTTTCTTTTTGCATCTTCTCTAGATTTAAATTTTTCTTCTACAGGACTGAGAAATAAATAGAGACTTGTACACCAATGTTCATAGTAGCGTTATTCACCATCACAGAACACGGAAACAGCCCAAACGTCCAAACACAGTCAAATGGATTGAGAAATCATGGTACATTCATGTGACGGAATATCCTGCACCACGCAGGAGCAATGGAGCATTATGATAAGTGAACTAACTCAGTACCACAAGGACAAATATTGTAGAAGATAATTATTGTCTTATTATACAGAACAAGTATGAGGATCCAAGAGGGGCAGGGTGGGTGGGAGCAGAGGCATGAGGATGGTTGGGTGTGTGTGTGTATCTTAATCATAGGGTCACATAGTTTGATGGGTGGAGGGGAAGAATGAAGGAAATGTGAAATATCTAGCGTGGAAAAACAATGTATTCAAACTTTATAAATAAACCAGTATAAAATAAAACTTTTGAAAATAGTTACAATTTCATGATATCTCATTTAAATGCATATTATTATTATCAATTGATAGCAATGGATTGCTATTTCTTCTGTTAATACAAGTGTGCAATAAATCTGCAAATTATGTACTTTTAAAATATTTCTTTGAAATGTAAGTAAGATCAAAGTTTATTCATGAATATCAGGCCACAAAAGATGAGACAGTCATGGCTTTAGGGGACATTAAAATTCTGTTAAGATTGATGAAAAAATTGGAAATGAACACTTCATTGTACAATATGCAGGTTCACAGCATGATGAAAGTAATTAAAATGTTGAAATGGCAAATTTTTGGTACATATATTTGTCATAATATTTTTTTAAAAAATTAAAAGAGAAACTACATTTCACCTGTCCAAAAAGCCTTAGGCATTACTGTTTCTAGAAATAGGTCACATAGTATGCCACAGGTTTTGATGATGGCCAATGAAACAAAGTAATTTACAAAGTCCTCTGCCCTGTGTCCTACATTTGCAGCAATTCATTGCTTGGTGAGTGGCAGAAGCTATTATGTTTTGCTCACATCTGAATGTGGGTCATTTACAGAAACTAGCATGTGACATTTCTTTTAAAGCTAAAAAGGACAAGTGTGAACATATAGTTAATATAGT